CCCTGTCTCAAAAAAACTAAAACAAACAAAAATTTACATTTATTTATTAATGAGAGAAGCACACGGGTGCTATGGCACATTTATGGAGGTTAGAGACCAACTTGTGAGAGTTGGTTCTCTCCTTCCATCACATGGAACCCAAGATCACACTCAGGTCACTGACCTTGGAGACAAGTGCCTTCAGCCACTTAGCCATCTCATTGGCTGATGTATCCTGGATCTTGAAGGACAAACAAATCAGAATAATAGTGGACAACATATGGGAAAAGTGAGCAAAGGACAGTATTTTAGATGGAGGAAACTGAATGTGCAACACAGCGGTGGGAATACAATGCCTTAACAAGTGGAAAGATTATAAGGATTTTTGTGATTATAGGATCTGATGCTGCAAATAGTGTGTTGACTGGAACTGTGGATGAAAAGAAGACAGAAAAAGACACTGCAGCCACTCCTGATGAGACCTAATTGACTACGGTCAGAAGGAAGGAAAAGAAGACCTCCCCTATCAGTGGACTTGGGGAGGGGCATGCATGCAGAGAGTGGAGGAAGGGAGGGATTGGGACGGGAGGAGGGAGGGAACCACAGGGGGGATACAAAGTGAATAAAGTGTACTTAATAAAGAAGACGGAACAAAGTTTCAGACAAGATAACAACAAGGCAATATCTATCATTTGCTAAAATGATTATGAAGTAGGGTGGAGAATAATTTGAAGAGGAGAGAGCCAGATGGCAAAGGCTCTTGTAAGATACAACCATAACAACGTGCCAATAGAAACAAAGAGATAAAATAAAATCTCTACCTATGGGATGAAATCAAAGAAATGAATGATGAAGTGGATATGAAAGGTAAAATGAGGTTCTACTCAACAGAATGGCTACTCAAGCAAGAAACAAATAGGACATACAAAAAGAACAGGCATGGTGCAAATTAAAAATCAGCCTAGAGCTGCTGAGGCGGCTCTGTAGGCAAGCGTTTGCTGCACAAACCTGGTCACATACCTTGTCTGACATTTCATCTTTGTCGGTTGTAATTACCGAGAGCCTGTTCTCATTTGTTCCCAACGTGTGTCAAGAGGTGATAGAGGAGAGATGGAGCAGGAAACAAGGCCCCAGATCCTGGAAGCCACTGGGCAGAACTAGAGAAGTCATTCTGCAACACCCTTCCTGGGCTTCGAGATGAGGAGGTTGGAGTTGATGAATTTCTCATCTATAATTTTGTAACCACGTTTGTTATCCAAATCTCACTATCTCCACATCTCCTCTATGGGCTGCCAGGAAAACCTGAAATAACTGGAAAATGGGCATTGAGAGAGAAACTCGGCTTGAAAAGAGCCACAAACCTTGTAATTTCCCCCCTGGATAGTGGAGATATGACTTTGAAAAAAACATTTCTGCTATAATACATAATAGTTTTGTAGATTATTGTGACAATGTGAAGCTTTTTATAAAGAGAGTGATACTTGGGCACAATATTTGGGTTTAGGTTGAATAACCTTTTGAATATACATATATATATATATATATATATATGAAAATAACTATGTAAGATTGTCCTATTTAAAGGCCTCCCACTTACTGCTTCATGCAATAAGCACTCTATAGTAACCTGATTATATTTGTCCCTCTGGGCAGTTATGACTGCCTACAGGTAATACAGGGATAGCAGGCATCCGCTGTAATTATATTGCATCAAATTGTATGTCCTTGCAATAGTAAGCAGTCTGGATGACTGTGCAGAAAGATCTTGCTGATAGATAGGCTCCCAGATGCTGAGCTAGCACCAAACTAGTTGTATGGGGAGCTTTGTCCTCTGGATTCCCCCAAAGGGTGAGGTCTAATGGGCTGTGAGCACCAAAGAAAAACAGACCACAGTTCAACTGACAAAGAGTCCCTGGAAGATATGTACAGCTCATGAGAGAACAGTTCTGTGCATTATTTTTTAGTCTGTATTGAGCTACAGTCCAGCAACACCCTTGTGCTCAACCTCTGTGCTAAGATTCTTCTCTGAATGAGAATCTGAAATAACATGACTCCTGTAGGGATGGGAGAGGAAGACAGGAGAAGAGTCATGGGCAGCAAGTCTGGCTGAAGGCACGAGGGAGAGAGAACAAAGAGACCCTGTCACACAAAAGAGTGAAAGGCTGGGGACTCATACGCAAAGGTTGTCTTCTGACACCACATGAGCATTGTGGCACCCAGGCACCGTATGTAAACACACACAAAGAGCAAGCGAGCAAGCGAGAGAGAAAGAGACAGACAGACAGACAGAATGGAAGAGAAAACAAAAGCAACAAAAATGATATACTATTTTAGAATAAACACAAGAAATGTGTAAAGCTTACATGAAGCAAACTTTAAAGCACAATTGCAGGACATAAAGACCAGCCGAGTGAACAGATTATATATTCTAAGAGTATCCAATATGTGGTGAGTGAAATAAGGGACAAAGTAATAAATAGACTACCATGTTCTTTAACAAAGTGAAAAGAGAAATCAGAATCTATATTTCTATTTATTGGAGTGTAAACAAATGGTAAAAAGTACCCTAAATCACTACCTATGGAGGACAATGAGCAATAAAAGACAAGAATAGCAAAATGTTCACACCCATAATGTTCATCCACTAGATCTGTCATCTAATGCTCCTCAAGTATACAGACAGATCCCAATCCATGAAATGATTGTACAGTTATTTTCCTAATCGGACCCCTGCACATGGTATTGAGGCTGTCACCAGTCTTTTGCTAGTGCAATCAGTTCTGCAGCCAATCACGTGGTGATAATTGTAGCTGTCAATGTAAGTGGACTGAAAGATGTCTGGAAAGTTAGCAAAACACATTTCGGGTGTGTCTGTGAGAGTGTTTCCAAGGTGTACGGGCAGGTGGGAAGTGAATCGGGTGAGGAAAATCTGCCGTTACTGTGGCCGCCCCCCTCCGAGGGGTTGGATGCTTGAAACCACGATAGCAGAAGACCCTTTTAACGTGTTACCAGACTCTCCTTTTTAATTGTCTTTGTTCCATTTATGTATTCAGTGTGTGTGTGGAGGGGGAGGGGCAGGTGTACACAATCCATACCTGTGTGCAGGTCAGAGGGCAACTTGCAGAAATCAAATCCTGGGCACCAAAGCCCAGTGATCAGGGTCAGCAACAAGGCTTTTCCCCTCTGAGCCACCTGTCCAGCCCTGCTTAGCTTGTCTTGAACTGTTCCATTTTGCTTTGTCAGCCAGGTGGTGGTGGCTAACGCCTTGAGTCCCAGCACTCAGGAGGTAGGTGAATCTCTGAATTCGGAGCCAACCAGGTCTACAGAGTGAATTCCAGGACAGCCAGGGTTACACCAGGAAACCCTGCCTCAAAAAAAAAAAAAGTTTCATTGTTGTTGTTGTTTTTGCATGTTGCCATTGTTTTTTTTGTACAGACTTTAGATTCTTTATCTTTTAAGTAGATATCATCCCAAGGGGCTTTGTTTGAAGCCTTTTATTTATTTGTTTGTTTGTTTGTTTATTTTACTGGGCCTTCCTGTTTCTTAGACTAAGAAATTACCAGTCTCCTGAGCTCTCCAGTCTAAAGACAGCCACTGTGGAACTAATCAATTTCTGATAATGTATCATGTAAGCTAATGACACACACACACACACACACACACACACACACACACACACACGCCCCTAGAAAACATCAACTAAAACATTAATTACCCCTTTAAGTTGAAATTTAAAACAAGTAAGGCTGTCAACCACAGAAATAAACGCAAACACTTTGAAATGAAAACATTTGACTCCTTGAATATTAACAATCATGATCAGAATTCAGAAACAGAAACCATGAAAATCTGTGAAATAGTCAGGTCTAGATTTCGGGCTGTCAAGGTGACTCAGCCAGTACCAGACACTCACTGCCCAGCCCTGGCAACCTGAGTCCAGTCCCCCAAAGCTATGTCAAGATGGAAGGAAAGAACAGACTGCATGAGTTGTCCTCTGACCACCACTGATGCACTGTGGTTTGCATGCCCACAAGCATATATGTATGAAAAAAAAAGAGAAAGAAAGAAAGAAAGAAAGAAAGAAAGAAAGAAAGAAAGAAAGGAAGGAAGGAAGGAAGGAAGGAAGGAAGGAAGGAAGGAAGGAAGGAAGGAAGGAGGAAAGGAAGGAAGAAGGAAGGAGAAAGGAAAGGGTCAATTTTAGAACAGAGAGTTATACATTCTCACTCTCTTTCCCTTCTCCATTTCCCACACCCTCATCTACACATGTGCTTCTTTTGCTGATGTGCAAGGAAGCACCTCTGTGTCATACGGGCACTGGGAAATCTGCCCAGCAACTACAGGGCTGTGCCAAATGACTTCATCCATACAAGCTGGCACAGGACTTGAGAGCTGACCTGTTTAACCAATGGTCAAGGTTCCCACATCATCTCTCAACACAGGACGCTGCTACCCTGGTAGGTAATGGCAAAGCAACTTGCTGAGACATTCACACTTGGTGGTTCTCCTGTAGTGTCAGCATCCTTTACTTGAAGCACATAGCCCTACTGTTCCCTTGTCTCAGAGGTGGCTGGCAGCTGAGCAGAAAACTGGAATTTCCTGAAAGGTGCTCGATTTATCTGTAAAGACCCCCATTCACAGGTGAGGCGGTAATCTACACACCCAGCTCTCTGTAGTAATGCGGATGGTCAGAGTTAGGCTAAGGAGCTTCACTCACCACCACCTGGTGAGAAATCACGAGACAGAGATAAATTTTAATGCAACCATTGGTATTAATGAGGCACATTTATTGAGATAGCAAAACAAGAAAGGGCAAAGGGTGATACCTCTTGCATGTCAGTTTGTGGCTGTGAATTGGTGGTCTTAGATGTAGTAGACACCAGAGACTTTCTCCTCTTAACTTGCTATGTCATCCATAAGGAAAAGAGAGAGAGAGAGAGAGAGAGAGAGAGAGAAGATGGGAACAAAACGAAAGAAACAAAACAGAAAGTCCCTTTCAAGTACTCACCAGATTTTTTTCTCCACAGACACCATAACCCAACCATGGACCTTTGAACACTTAGAGGTAAAGTTCAACTCGTGAGACAGATTTGGCTAAAATCCATCATGACTTAAAGTTATAGCTCCTCTGAAGTTTCTGTTGAAGGTGGCTGGATGTGGGCCCCTTGGAAAGCTCACTTAACTGGATAATGCCTTTATATCTTAAATATCACATGTGAGTCTTTCTATGTTAAATGCAGTCAGCTCTGCTAAAACCCTAATGCTGCTTGGCAGGCAAGCTATAGTTTTAATGTCTATTCTATGCTCTCTATCGTCTTTTGGACTTGATTTTCGATTTTTTTTTTAAACTGGTGTTAAACTGGTAAGGTGTGTCGTCTCTACCCTGGATCTGAATCTGTCTCCTCTCTTCTTGGCTGCTGTCTCTCCTTTGCCTCCAACCAGCTGGCTATTTTCTCTTCCCAAAGCAACCATGCAGTGACTCTCTGCAGGATGGCAGCAAAACCTCTGAGCAGACAAACCAGCAGCTGCCGACTGCAGATCATTAAAGGAAATCCAGCAGCTTCTTTTCTTCCAGCTTCATGTACAGAAGTCATTTCCCACCCCTAACCGCTCACCAGCTGGAATGTTTGTGCATATTACCAAATTAATGAGATTGGCAGAGGCCCCTTGGATTCTTCCCATGAATTTATCTTTATGATACAATTTCTTCCATATCATGCTCATATTGCTAATGGACAAGAAGTCTCTGTAAGGTATTTGCAGTTTCTAAGATGAAAGATGTTACATAAACAGAATGAGCCCATTTGGGGAGATATGCAAATATAAGTAATATTACGACCTTCAGCAGCTGCCAGCAATAGAGACTACAGACCTGTATTTCATGGACACATAGCTAGGGACAGCAGCTATGTTTAAACATGGTTCTAATAGATAAGGACAAGTAATTGCTCTCCTCCACAGGTGTATATGTGAGCCCTCCACAGAGCAGACTTGCCACGAGGCTAATGAAGCTTGCATTATAGGATGCCTCGCTCATATGGGGTGCTTCCAAGCTTCTATACTGCCAATTTTTATTTCTTCAATTTTATTTTACTTTCCCGAAAGAAGGCTTCTCAGATCCCATAAGCTGCAGGACTCAGAAATATCATATCTAGATTTGTTCCAAACATACAATGCAGCTTTCCATGTCTCGGTTTTAGTTTTAGCCAGCATATTTTTGGAAAATGAATAAGAATAGTAATATGGTTACTAAAACAGTGATTCAAATTTCTTTTTTTTTAACTTTCTGGATACACACACACACACACACAAACACATACACACACACACACACACACACACACATATATATATATATTCCCTTGGGAATAATTTCATAAAACCCTATTGAAAGAAATTTGATAATAACTTTGAAAACTATAAATATATTCACACCATTACAAGATAACATGTCTATAGATATTCATTTACCAAAGACTGGACATATTCCAGAAATGTGCCAATAAGAAATTAGTTAAATCAATTATGATGCATCCATATGGACACCAGGCAGCTGTCAAAACATGAGGAAGTGCTTAGGAGCTGGTGTGGAAATGTTTCAAAGATTAGTTGTTAAGTATGCAGTGGTGTGTAAAGAATGCTATCCTGTATAGGAAAAGGTTGGCAAGACAATTACTTATTTACTTTATGACAATTTTGAAAGGACACACACATACAAAAAAAAAAAAACCCTAATAAAGGAGAAGAGCATGATATTAGACGGATGAGAAAAAGCCGAGAAGGTGACATTTTACAGGTTTATGTAATATACGTGTATGCTTATATCCATAGGAAACATGATAGCTACTTAAAAAAAAAAATAGTGCAACTAAGAAGAGAGGGCCAGTGTGATGGCTTAGCAGGAAAAAAAGTCTGACATTAAGCCTGACAACCTAAACTCAATCCTTGGGACCTCTGTGTTAGGAGAGCACTGACTCCAACAAAGTGTTCCGTGACCTCCACATGTATGTGATGACACAGACACCTCCCCCCCCCCCACAAACCCCCCCCCCCCCAACAACAAAGCCCACTAAAAAAAAAAGGTGAAGAAAAAAAAAAAAAAAAAAAGAACTGAAGAGTTATCCCAGCATTCAGGAGGGTGAGATAGGAGAATTGCCCTCTCAAAACCAACAAAATTTCCAGATCAAGATCTGGTCTCAAAAAATGTAACCATAAGCAGATAAAAAAAAGAATGGGGAACTTGATGCTCTTCTCTTGTGGCACTGAGTCCAGTTTTGCAGCCTCCACAGTCAAAATCCTATGTCAGAGCTTTTGTGACTGTGACTCTTGCATTCCCTTCACTCCCACCTCATACCGTCAATGGACTCTGAAGACTCAGCATTCTTGGCTGTACTCAATGGTTACTTTTATAAAAAAAAAAAAAAAAAAAAAAAAACTTCAAGGCTATTCTGTTTATCGCCGGCCCTTCCTGTTCTTACCCCGACAACTTTTGCATTGTATTCCCCTGGCCCTGGAGCAGGCTTCCTTCAGAGAACAAGCCTCGGAAACCTCCCTTGACTCCTTTGGCTTGGTAGCCGACATTGCTGCCATTTCTATCTCTGTGCATCTTTTTTAAAGTGCGTATCTCATTTATAGCTAGGATGTCTGTCTTCTGCAGTCAAGTCTAGACAGAACCCTCCACGCTGGCTGGTTTGTGTTTGTATTGTCTGCTTCTGTGTTCCTGGTGCTTAAGGCCAGGCTTAGCAAAGCTTAGCAAATGTTTGTTGAGTGGGGAGTGATTTCTTTATAGGTGAGCTATGTGTTCCTTCTATAGCCCACATGATGCAAAGACAATATTGCATGAAGATTTTGCCACCTGCCGTACCAGCTTTGTAATTTTAACCTTTTAGTCTTTGGGAGAATTTAGAGGTTTCATCTATGCTGTTTTTCATTCATTTTGTGATTTGATAAATATATATTGTGTGTTTTCCGTGTGCCACTTTTCAAGGGACTATGGTTATGGTATTAAATGGTTATAGTAAAATGCAGGACAGAAAAAGACGCTTGATGTTCGAATAAACAATCTATTTGGGGAAAGGATTGGAGAGTGATCCATAAACACAAATGGCAAATAAAAAGTTCAATCAGGAGTAAAAGCCTTAATGAAGGGATTGAAGGAGGCCAGGCCAATCCTCATGAGAGAGATAATATTTAAACTGGGATTAAGTGAGAGAGTATCAGTGGTCATCTTAGTCTCATGTCTGCCATATAACAATTTCAGAAATAGTAATAATTAATATTAATCAAAATTTGTCCAAAGAAGTACATTTCAAAAATCTCAATGTTCTATGTGGTGGCACAATGCTGTCACCCCAGCAAGAGGAAGCTGAACCAGGAGACTTGTGAGTTCAAGACCAGCCTGTGCTGGTTAACCTGATAGTGTTTCAGGAAAGCAATGAAAGTTCCACAAGAAATGATGAACACTGAGAAAAAGTATTTAACCTGATTTATATTATACAATGTACAACTATATGAGAACATCACATTTTATGCCATTGATATGTAAAATATTCGTTTTTATGCATCGGTTAAAAATAAATATGATTTAAATGAAGGAAAATGAATGAATTCCTGGAATGAAAGCAGATACCTACAGAGATACAACTTTCCAAAGGCGGAGGCAGGAGGATCAGAGTTTGAGGTTAGTCTGAATTATATAGCCAAATTGCATTTTAAAAACAAACAAAATTTATAAAACACACACACAAAAACCAAAGAATTACCTGAACATATAAAATATATATATATTCTTTATACAGTGCATTTGCATTTATATTACTTATACAGTGAGAAGACCTGTGTGTGCACTTGGGTTCCCTATTTGAGTCAACGAACTAAACTTTAACTGAAAGTCCTGTTTAGCTGTGAAGTCATTAACACTCTTTCCAAGTGGTACCATCAATGCGTTTAATGATCCCCATCGTCTGCTAAACACCGTGCTCAGAAAGAGGTCACAGAAACAGGCACCAGCAGCTGTTCATCAGCACCTTCACTGTCACCTAATGTCCTATGAACTCACCAACAAGCTCTTCCTGCATTCTTACATCTAAGGTGATGAAAAGGTGCAAGAGAAAGAAAGAGGTGCGGGGGGGGGGGGGGGGATTTGGCATATTTATGTCTTAACATAAATGCATGTCCAAGAATAGAAAATAATTGGCAACTCTCGTCTCCCTGGTGTGCAGTGCAACCCCATTGGACGGCACGTAGGAAAGAGCAGGTGAGGAGATGTCGGTCCAGGCACTTTTCACTGAATCTCTAAAAACTTGGCAGAGGCAATTGTTTCCCACCAGTCGTCAGACGCCGAGTCTTAGACTCAAAGGGAAGAAGTGGAAAAGCAGATGCAGGGGAGCTGGTTTCCAGATGAAGTCTCTGCTTGAGCTGGATGTTCCAGGGGTATCCTGGGTGTGAATTATACATTAAAGCTTTCTACCATTTCCCTGGGCTCTCGTCCTGTGCACTGTAATCACTCTCTCTGCCCTCATGCAGCAGCAGTTGCATCAAGGCTGACCCACAGGGAGCAACAGGTAGGGGACAGCGAAGCCAATAACATAGGAGAGCAAAAAGGGTAAACAGGACCCAATCAGTCTGGGCAGGGCATCCCACAGTATTCAGATCTCCAATTTACATAAGGGGAAACCAACAGTTTGGTAAAACAGTTGGCTAACAGTTTCTATTTAAGTGGCAGAGCTTAGCTGCATCCGGTTAGACTTGGCCCAACAACTTACTCTCATTCTCCTCTAACACATTCATCCTCTTTCCTGACCACAGCCATGTACACAAGGACATGCAATGCATGTATTACACATTCTTACCTGGCTTTCTTTCAATAAAATAAAACATTTTCATTATTTTTATATACCTGTATGTGTATGTGCTTGTGTGAGCATATGGCATGTGTGTGCAGGTGCTCTCAGAGGCCAGGAGAGGGACTGTGAGTTCTCTTCATTGATGAGCCGCATCACCAGCTCGTCCCATCCTGAACTCTTTTAAGACATTTTCGCTGCATCCTTTGTACGTATAGCACGT